GTCGCGAGGACGAAGCTTCAACCACCCACCAACACACACCACTATCAACACACCCAAATACCACGTGCACGTTCAATCGTATTTTAGTATATATATATATATGTGTTTTCAATGACTTACATGTTTCTCTCCCTTTATTTCTCGTTTTTTTTCCTTTCTATGTAAGCTCCTCGCTACAATTGCCCTTATTTTCCTTTTTTTTTTTTCTTTTTTCTTTTTACCTTTACCTTCCCTTCTTTTTTTACACGCCAAATATGAAAAAATATGTATATATATAATAGAATATAAAATAAAAAATGTAGAAGAGAGAATTCGAGCGATCTCATGATTAAGATAAATTCGAATAATTTAATATCTACAATAATATACACATATAATATATATATATATATATATAATTATCATCGATCGAGTATAATAAATGCATGCTTACCAACAATAAATTGACCCACGTACTTTCCATGTCGTGCGAGCCCGATATAATGGCGGCCGTGTTATTAACTACGTTCATACGATATGATGATGGTGGCGACTCTTTTTTAAATTCTAATATCGTCGACAAATTCCTAGAAACGTCCAAGAAAATATTACATTTATTTTATTGTTTTTCACATTTACACCATAGTTTAATTCAATATAATTATTCTAATGTTAATGTTAATTAATTACTGGTATAATTATATCTAAACGATTCTAAGTACCCAGATTAATTGAATTATTCTAATACGCGTATTATAATTACATTAGTATAATTACTAGTATATACATATAAATATGTTTGAATAATATATTATAATTATATTATGTATACACTAACAGGGACAAACAATATTAAAATTTTTCACGTTATCTTTTTTATATTTAATAAGATGCAGAAATAAACATTCGGTTCTATAATGGATTTAATTAAATTCGGTTAATGTTTCCTCGTGGTCTTATCGTTTCTTTGTACTTTTATTTCTCTTGGAAATTGTAAGTTAGAATTTGGAAAGTCAACGATTCTTTTGTTTCCTTTTACTTTTTTCTTCTTCTGTTTCTCTTTCTTTTCTTTTTCTTTTCCCCGTCCGTTTTAAATTAAATTCGGTTAATGCTTTTTATTTTATCTTCTTCCTATTCTCTTTTCCTGATCTTGAACGAACACTTTATGCGCAGTAAGCACCCGAGAGAAAATGGATTTCGATATAAACGCAAAGGGAACAAAAATATATGTATGTCAGTACCTGAAAAGAAGTTTAAATCTTCGTCAAAGTGAAATCTCTTTTCATTTACAAATCTCTTCTCTCTCTCTCTCTCTCTCTCTCACTCTTTTTATTCGTTTACATTTTTGTACAATTTTGTATTCTGGCACAAATACACATTTGTCCTACGTGATGTTGTAGTTCACTAAAATCCGATAAATTAATCAAAACATTTTTTTATTATTTTCTTTTCATTTTGACCAATACCTACTTCTTTTTAAATATTTATATGTTCGGGGTTTTTAAATGGCTTTTTTTTTTTTTATTTCCCTACGATATAAAATATTTTCTAATAGGTAATCTCCCTCGTCTCTTTTTTCCGTCCTTTAGAATGTTTATTCGAATTGGATTTGTCCGTAATATTATTTTGTTTTTCCTCGCAAATCTACGTCGTTAAATTTTATACTCAGTTTTAGTACTAGCGCGAAGATTTTTTTTGTCCAAAGGGGGGAAAAAAAATGAAAAGAGAAAATACGATTTAAAGAAAAAGAAGAAAGAAAAGGAAATATATTTTCTTGTTCTCTTTTTTTTTTTCCCCATCCTTTAGTGGAGTGAACTAGGAAAAAAAAAGTCAACTACTGGCTGGCGTTAGTTTTATTTTATTTAGTTTTTTTTTTACTCCTTCCTTTTTCCCTCCCCATTTGGATGGGACGAGATAGAACGAGATAGAACGATTAACGCGTTTTTTCCCTTTCCTACGTTTATCCGATAACTTCCAACTCCCGTGCTTGTCTTTTTCTATCTCCCTTACGCCCTCTAATTTGACTTGTTTTATGTAAAATTGCATCCCAGATGGACGATAAGGGTAGAAAGAAAATTGCATTTGTGGTGCATACGCAGTCGTAAACATTATTATATGTGGAGAGTATTATAAAAATGGATTAATCCTAAGTGGAAAATTTGTTAACAAAAATAAAATCAATTTTAATATTTATATTTAAATCGTTTATATTATCGAATAGAAAAAAATCATAAAATTAACATTTGTATAATTTGTTGATTCAGGTCAATATTATAATTATTTGGATATAAATTTATACGATCTGCTAAAGTGAAAAGAAACAAAAATTAGCTGAATCATTCGATGTAGATTGTATCTCATGTCGATTTTTCAGGTGCATGTCTTGGGGGTGTTCTCTTGTTTTATTTCTTTTCGAATAAAGTGCGTTTCTATGTTCTATTGCAATCAGTGTCGCGAGGAAAAAAGCGTATTCGCGTTGCTGCATCTACCCCGCCGCAATAAAGGGAGGGAAAAAAAAACAACAAAATTCAATGACACAACGTTCTATCGTAAAAAGCACTACCGATCGACAATTATTTCATTTCTTTGCGCAATTTAAATCGATTTAAAATTCTTTTTTGAAATGTTTACCTTTGCTTATCGCGTTTGAATTTATTCGATGATATTATTGCAAATTCTAACTATGGTCAATCACATGATGTTTTATTTTTTAAATTATTTGTAGAAGAAAAAAATGTCGAAATTTGTTGACCAACGTAATTACCGATTATGTCTTTTTTTACATTCGGTTTTTTAGTTACAGAATGCTGGAATATTATAATCGTTAGTACGATACTTTTGATTTATGTCATTTTCAATATAATAACCAGGTACCTAATTATTAATAATTTAACAATGACGCCTATTTTCTGTTCTTGTTAAAGAACCTATTTTTAATATAGTGATCTTTAAACGGGTTGATCGAGCAACACAATTGCACCTTTTGCTCGTAGTGTATCTCGAGGTTCGAATTAACATAAAAAGGACCTAAGTGGTCATTATTATAGAACTTTGTATATGCGTGTCTTGGGTTAATCTTAACCGAGTGTTTTACAACTTTACTTTAACGTGTTGAAATTATCTCTCTCTCTCTCTCTCTCGTTAAAATTATTTTTCAAATTCTTTCTTTTCTATTCGTTCGAACTTAATAAAATGTCTTATGACAGTTGTTTATGTACTTCGAGTCATTTTCAACGTCAACGATTTTGAACTATAATTTAGAAATAATATACGATTAGTTTGATTCTTTTTAAAAAAAAAAAAAAATGTATTCTTAATAAATTCCTGAATGATTTAGCAACATTCATTCTTTTGTCAAAATTTGTTAGACTTGCATTATTCAGTATTGCACAATGGAAAAATTCAAAGATTTTTGTCCAATAGAAGTAGGAAAAAGAAATCAAAGTAGAAGAATTAATCCTAAAATATATAGTGTTATAGTATATATTACTCGTTTGTTATCCTTTGGCATGCACGCAAGCACGCACGCATGCACGCTGGATTTTCTACCTCGGATTTTCACGTCCGCTTTCGCGTATATACAGATGAGATATCCGTTTGCACATACCATGCGAGAACTTCCATTGCAGCCATGGTATCTCTGGGTATACTTCTACTTATATAAAATACAGTGTCGAACAAAAGTATTAACCTCCAATCCTTTGACACTTTGATCTTTATCCAAAATATAATTCCTTATTTATTTTGTTAACAAATTTAAAGTTTCAGCGTGCATGATAAATCTTTGTAAAAGATGATAGAATTGTTTAGGTAAAACAAAATAGCAAATATTTCATGCAAAACTGAATGAAGATAATTGCTGTTAATTTCATGTCGCTGTGCGCGCGCATCGTAAAAATGCACTCTCATTATTTTTTTTTATCTCTTACGCGCCAAATGAAGTATAACTTAAAAAATGCAATATACGTTTTTAATACTTTTGTACGGTACTGTATAAATGTATACAACATAGACGAATTTTTATGCTAAACGCGTATTTATCGCGTTATACTCGGCACGGACGATCGTTGCTGGTATTCGGGCCTCTCGTACGTGTACTCCTCTCCTTTCCCTTCACCACCTTATTTCTTCTTCTCCTCCTCCTTTCAAGCCTTCTAACGAGTGATGGGTCTTTCCTTTCACTGAGAGAGATAGAGCGTGCTGTGTGTCGAGGAGTGGGAGAAAACAAGATGACGGGCATCGCATTCCACGGTGTTGTAGGCGCACGTCGATCGTTTCTAAACAACCATAATCGCGGGACAGGCTCGATTGATTGAATATCGTACTCCTCCTCACTTTGTTATTAGGTTTAGGTCAGTGGCGTTTATTTATCTTACTAAATCAAATCGCATTACTCTTCCTGAATTTTAAAACGATTTATTATTATTACTATTATTATATTTCAAATCAATGCTTCTTCGTACGATTTATTTTACGCATTCGGTATTCAATTGATTATCGAATAATCTTTAGTTTTTTGTATTTAATTTGTAATTATCCTAAGTAATTAAGAATTTATATTGAATACGCGCGTTTATCGAATAATGTTTGATAAACGCGTTTCAGTTAGTTCAAACGATTTCGAAGTTAGTATAATTGATGGTATCATTCTCATCGTGCTTTTGAGAGATGATCAGTTAGTGTAACGGTAAAATCTATTACCGCAACACGTGCCTTCCATAATTAGCGCGGGCCAATTTTGTAATGTCGCTGGATCGTTCTCGGTTTATTCGTACGGTTTGTCTCGAGCCGAGTTTAACGAGCGTGAAAAATAAATTTAAGGGGAACGCGTGTTCGAATACTTCAACATTTTTTTTTTTTTTATTATACCTTGTCTATCTTGTGCTTTCAATTTTATCCTAGTTATTAATATTTTCTTATTTTTTGTTGGTTATCCTCATTTTATGCGGATTATTAAACTTATTGTATGGGATAAGTTATTATGTTATGATTCATTTTTCTTGTTTTCTTGTTTATTGTAGAAATAATGAAGAGGGAAGCAGATGCGGGCGCCATGACAGGTTCCGGAGGGCCGAACAGTCCTCACAAACGTTACCGACAGGGTGACGATGAGTTACGTCTTCTCATTCCCAGCAAAGTAAGAAAAATAACAATTAACATATACGTTTTATAATATTTATTTAAAAATAGAAGAAAGAATTTACTTTTATAATAAAATATGCTTAATAATTAGAGCGAAAGAAACAAGATGCGTTTTACCATCGACTCGGTCGATAAAATAGATCGTAATTACCAACGAAACGAATCTCTCAACGAATTCTTAAATATGACGGAAATTAAATAAAACAAAATGGCGTGCTTTGAATTTCATTTTTCCTTTTTTTTTTCGACGATTCTATCGTTGACTTTTATCATTATTCGAGTGAAATTAACGCGAAAGGAAAGATTTATTGGAGAAATCAAATTGACAGATCTACGACGAAATAAGAGATCGAGAGGTTAGAGTTTACAGGTTAAGCGCGTAAAAATAAAATATAAGTAACGATTAGAAACCAGTAAAGATTTAAGATAAATACTCGGAAGAGAGTCTCCGGCAGATTAAAAAGAGACGAATAAGAAAATATGTGTTTTCGCTTTCACACGTTCTGCGTTGGTAAGTAAACGCGTAGTAGTAGTAGTGGTAATTCACCGATCTAACCACAGAATGATCGAAGCACGCGAGTTCTATCTTTCCCACGTAGTTGAATGAAAGAGAAAGAGAAAGATATAGGGTATAATATTTTTCCTTCGTATATTCATTAACTCGATCTTTCCATGGCATCAATAGCAGTAATCTACGCGTTTTATAGACTCGTACATAAATCGATAGTAATATTATAAAGCGTAGATAAATGCAAAATAATCGTTGATTATGGCGTCTGTTTATTCTTCTGGTGGTGGGAGTGTTGTACCATGTTGTATATCGTTTACCATATTTAACGACGTCATAATCATTTATTTTTATACAATTTAGTATACATAAATAAATATAACTTTAAAATCATTATTATTAAATTTACAGATTTTAAATTATTCATTCGATTAATTGCCAAACATATATTTTCCGTAGAAAAACATAAAAACCATTAGTACCCGGCTATTATATATTTCAATTAAATTTTCGTTGTATAAAAATATAATGAATAAAATATTTCTCGATATATCCAAGTTGAAATATTTTGATACGGGTAATGTAAAAAAGAAAAGCGATTATGGTGGCGCTATAGTATATTATATATAAGGTACACACGCGTTATGCGATCTCACAATTCGCTATACTTCCGGTCATTGTCGTTGTAAGGAGAGCTCGGCGAACCGTTATAGACTTCCGGTGTCTTTCTCTCGTTCTCTTTCCAGTTAAAAAAAAAAAAATTTCTCGATGATTTGGCGGAAGTTGAGAAGAAAATAAGAGAAAAGAAAGAGTACAAGAGATTCGTGTATACGAAACGTTTAAAACGGATACACCGATTACGCCACTTGCGTAGCTTCCTTGTTGCATTGCGTTGCATTACCACCTTACTTCGTCGTTGTGTGTGTGTGTGTGTGTGTGTGTGTGTGTGTGTGTGTTACGATAATAAAGATTGAAAAAGTTGATTTGCTTTAGGTTTCATCTCTCTCTCTCTCTCTCTTTTTCTTTTGGTTTCTTTCTTGGTACTTTTGAAAGAGCAAAACCTTATCATCGAGTCTTTATCTTTCAACTCTAACACACACACAGCTACACATGAAAGTAACATTTTACATGATACTTTTATCGCACTTGAACACGAAAAACGCGATACTTCGTATTTCTTTCGTAAGGAGATCATCTTGATTGTTATTATTATTATTTCGTTCTAACTTTTATCTACTGCTATTTATACGAGCATTGCACAAGTATAGTTATGAAAATTGTATATTACTATTATACGATTCAACCTATTTTTCTTTTTTTTTTTCTTCTTCTTCTTCTTCTTCAAATTATACATTTTTTCTGCAATGAAAAATATCATTCGTAGAACAAATATTATTATATTGTAATATATATTGTGTGTGAACAAGATATATAATTATGTAATAAAGTATATTGGTTGTTAGAATTGTAGATAAAATTAAAATTCCGAAGTTTCTTTTTGCAAAGAATAAACATATTGATTAGAATTATTAATATATGAATTTGTGAATATCGATTTCTTGGAAGAGTTAATAATAACACTTTCGAGATTATCGTTCCCGATAGAAAAAACGAACTCGCGATAAAGTTACGAGTGCTATGACGTAATGAGAAATCGTTTAGGGTAGTCAATCGTATATCCTCGTAGTGTTTAATTAGGCAAATTGCTAAACGGAATCGCGAGGTGCGTCGTATGCCAACGGAAACGTTCCTTTCTTCTCCTTCTTCTTTTTCTTCTAACATCAAATTAAATCACATTAAATTTGAACTAATTTATAACGAGAAAAATGTCACCCCCTGTAATATTATTATAATTTTATTCGATGTAAAAAATTCCTATCCCAAAAAAAAAATAACTAAAACCATATGATACAATTAAAAGTTATCAAATTGGTATATTACTTTGATATATAATAAAGTTGATTAAAAATTGAAAATAAAAAGTAGAACTTTTGGAGCATTAAAAAGAAGAAAGAAATAGATTAAAATAATTTGAATTCAAATAAACGGTTCGCGTATTAATTAAGACAACGAAGATAATTCTTTGCCATTTGTATTTAGATGCGTGTATGTATCATTACGCGTATTTTATACACATACACGTATAGATCTATCGATCTCGTGCAGTCGCGCGCGACTGATTGCATTTATTGGGCCTGCCCATAATAACTGACCCGTTGTCAGGGTCGATGCAATCTTTTTTTTTTTCTTTTAAAGTTAACTCATTCGGTACGAAGAAGTATAATTATTACGAACGAATGAAACCGACGAATGGGGATAGCCTCGTTTCTTTCAACTCTTTTCTCTCTCTCTCTCTCTCTCTCTCTCTCTCTCTCTCTCTCTCTAACACACTCTCGCATCCTATTTTTCTTGATTTCTTTTATTTTCCTTTAAACTGCGTTGACCATTCACGTTGTTAACACTTCTAACGAGCAATGATTTTTCAACTAGAACGTATTATTTTCTCTACCTTGACACGGTATTTTCCGTTTCTAGCGTGTTTATCTGCTGCGCCGACATGATTTGCTACGAAAGAGCACGAAATAGGATAACCAATGTAATTCATTCGAAAATTTGATTCGATGTTTAATAATAACTATATACACGCTGGCCTAAAAATTACTAGAACCTAAATTTACAAATAAGAATTTTCATTCGTAATTTTTCAATTCAATTTCTCTTTGAACAAATTTATATAAATATATATATTATATATTTCTTTTTTTTTTTCGAGTAAATTCTTTGTAAAACAAATTATAAAATATTTCGAATTATTTTCATAAAGTGTTTCTCGAACGAGAAAAAAGAAATAAATACGAGAGGAATGTTTGTCGAAGAAAAAAAAGAAGAAGAAGAAGAACACGAAAAAATAGAAATTGATTATCAAAGCGAAATGTGTCGCGTGTTGTTTCATGATATATTATTGAGCAGGTGCAAAGAAAGAGGTGAGAGTAAGAATATAAAAAGAGAGAGAGAGAAGAGAGAAGAGAAGGTGAGGTGGTCCCTCGAGGTGAAAGCGAAACTCGGTCGGTCGGTTAGAATAGGTCGCGTTTTTTCGATGCGATAAATAAATTGTATGTTGCATATTTCTATATGTATATATGTAAATAAATTATACAATACACAATACAGATTCGATCAAAAGTTTTTAGTTTATTTTGTTTTCATTAATTTATAAATTCTGGGAACGCGTCGTCACGACGCATTTCTATGTTGCAGGTTGCTGGATCTATAATAGGCAAGGGAGGACAAAACATCACCAAGCTCCGAAGTCAGGTGAGAGAGATATCTCGGATTTTCAACGACATATTTTTTTAAACGTTATTTTCATTTATTTAATTTATATATATGTCCATTCGTATCCCTTATTCCTTCTCATTCTTCATTTGTTTTCCTTCTTCCCTCCATACGTTTTACTTTTATCAATTTATTATTTCTTTTTTTTTTTTTTT